CTTCCTAGCCTTATAGATTCCTACACTAGCCTAGACCGAAACTGGACTGACTGGACATACCGGTACCGTTGCTGTTTTTCGGCCTCTCGGCCTCTACCGAACCCGGCTATAGGCTATAGGACCGTATACCAGTATAGGTCACTTAGGGCCTGCCTGTCCTAGGGTATCCCGGGCCTGCTATAGGCAGTTAGGGTAGCTGTAGAAATTCGTTTAGTGTCGGGCCTGTATTTTCCCGGAATTGCAATTCTGTCCCTCACGAATTTCCAAACAGGCTGGTCTCTCGGTTATCAGGAAGTCATTGCAAGCTTACCCGGGAGCGAGGACTTCCGAGCTAGGGGTGCGGACGAGGCGAACGGCGAAGGTCACTCTTCTGAGCCGCCTCATACCGCAGTACTACAGACTTTGCTGTCTTGATCAGGTCTCTTCTGTAGAACCATCGGTTCTCAGAAGGGGGCTGGAAAGCGAACCTGACAAGATACTGTCGGTCGGGGCCAGTGCCCCACTCATCCTCAATGGCCACCACATCATATCCCTTGCCAGGGATTGGTGGGCCCCATTGAGGGGGCCGGTCAGGAAATGCATCAGCTGGTGTAAAAGGCAGCAGCTTGGATGCATGGAAGACCGGATAGGTGCGTAGATGCAGCGGGACGTCGATTACGTACGACGGACCGAAGGGATCGGCGCCCACAGTATCTAGAACCTGCCATGGACCCAGGTAGCGCGGCAACAGCTTAGGAGAAATATCCTCCTCCCTCGACAACTCAGAACTGGCTACCTCTGGCAAGGGGATGAACTCTGCGTATTTGGAAAACCTGTCCACGCAGACCATAACCTGACGCATGCCACGAGGGGTGGTCTTGCCTAAGTCTGTGAAATCAATAGAGACAGACTATGCAGGACCATCATGTATGGGCAGAGGTTTGAGCAGTCCCAAAGGAGGTTTACGCTGAACCTTGTTCCTTTGGCAGAGCTCACAGGTATCCACATAGCGCAGTATATCACTCCGCATCTCCTTCCAAAAGAAGCGCTGCGACAGGGCTGCATACGACTTTAGGAACCCAAAGTGTCCACGCGCATCGTGGCACTCTGACATCAGCAGTGTCCTCAGCTGCTGATCCTCAGGGATGCACAAGCGCTCCCCTTCTCTGCTGTAGGTGTACAGCAGATCTGAACTCATGGCATAGCCAGGTTCAGAATTAGGATCTGCTTGCAGATTCCTGACGATGGGTCCATAAGTCGGATCTTGAGGCAGTAATCGAGCAATGGTTTAACGGACCTCCTCTCCAAACAGGCCTACGAGAGAGGGCGTCTGCTACCTTGTTGTAGCCGCCCTTCTTGTGCTTCAGTGCAAAGTCAAACAGATCAATGAACTGAATGTAACGTGGCAACTTGTCATTCAACTCCCCCTGGGACTTCAACCACTGTAGGGTGGAATGATCAGAAAAGATCTTGAAGTGCTTGCCCAGGAGAAAGTGCTTCCAATGTTTCAGGGCACTGACCAGAGCATAAAGCTCTTTCTCGTAGGTGGAGTCCTGAAGCTTCTGAGTTTTGATCTTCTTGCTCATAAACTCTACAGGTCATAGACCATTACCATCATCCTGCTGAAGGACTGCCCCAATGCCATACTGACTGGCGTCAGTAGTGAGAACAAATGGCAGAGTGGGGTCAGGCAACTTCAGAACAGGTGCACGAGTCAAGGCCTGTTTGAGTCGTGCAAAGGCCATCTGACAGTGGAGGGACCAAAGAAAGGGAGTGTCTTTCTTTGTAAGGTTAGTCAGGGGTGCAGCCACTGCAGAAAAGTTCCTGACGAACTTTCAGTAGTAGGAGGCCTGACCCAAGAATGACCGGACATCTCTCACTGTCTGGGGCTGTGGCCAATCCTGAATAGCAGCAATTTTGGCTGCTTCAGGGGCCAACCCATCTCCAGAGATCACATGACCCAGATAGATAACAGAGGGAATTCCAAAAGAGGACTTGTCCCTGTTGATCTTATACTGGCTGTCACGTAATGACTGAAGAACTAGAGCCAGGTGCTCCGCATGTTCCTTGGTAGTTTTGCTGAATACCAGGATATCATCCAGGTAGACAACCATAAACTTATCCAGATACGGCCTGAATATGCGGTGCATCTCAGTCTGGAATGTACCAGGTGCATTGCAAAGTCCAAATGGCATCACCAGGTACTCATAAGTACCATACCTGGTTTTGAAGGCCGTCTTGTGGGCGTCCTCCTCTACCATCTCAATCTGGTGATAGCCAGACTTGAGGTCGACTTTGTTGAAGATGGTGCAACCCTGGACCATATCCAGAAGGTCATCGATCCTAGGAAGTGGCTCTGTGCTCTTCCTAGTGATCTTGTTGAGACCCCTGTAGTCTATGCACATTCTGAACTCACCACTCCCCTTTGGAACAAAGAGGATTGGAGCCCCGAATTCAAAAGTGTTGGGCCTGATCCAGCCCTTGCTGGTCAGGGTCTCAAGCTGTCGCCTGAGCTCCTCAAGCTCAGCAGGTGACATCCTGTAGATGCGGCCCTTGGGAGGGACCGCTCCAGGCAGTAGCTCAATACGATGCTTGGTTGGCCGGTTGGGTAACCCAAAGGGCTCCTGCATCAGATCAGCATACTGGTCCACAACCTGCTGTATCTCAGGAGGACAGGGAGAAGAGGGAGCGTCTGTCTGCTTGACCAGAGCGATGAACAGACGCTCGTGATCATACTGGCGAGACAGAGCGTAAAACTTTCTCGCTCTCAAGCAGAAGAAGGAAGTCTGAGGATGATGATCAGCTGCAATCATGCAAGGCTGATACACCCCCTTGCTGTTTGGCAGTTCAACCTTGGGGATCTGCCAGTCGATCCTTGGGTTGACTGCTCTCAGCCACTGCATAGAGAACACAAGGTCAAAGGGTAGGTCAGGGAAGATGTAGAAGTCCAGACTGTGTCTGACTTCTCCCGCAATGTCGAAGGTAACAGGGATGCCCCTGACCTTCTCCCTGATGGTCAGAACAGTGGAGTCCCCTATGCGGACCTGCAGCGGTTGCTGCAGCTGCACCACTTTGATGCCCAGAAGCAGCTTTTGGACTGCACTGGGAGACATGAAGTTGCGAGTGGCTCCACAGTCTAATAGCCCTTTGATCCTGCGATGGTTGATCAGGGACCGAAGCAGGATGAGATCAGACTTGTTCTGCTTTTGTTCTTTCAGATGAAAGAAAAAAGCAGCAAGAGCCTGACACTCAGACTGGTCCGGTTCCTGATCCGGGTCAGGATCCTCATAGATAAAGGATGCTGCCCGCGCAGCGCCCACTCTGGATGGGAAGGAAGAAGTCTCAACTGAAGCTGTTGTAGCTGCAGATGCAGTTGCAACACTGGAGGGAACTGCTGTCTCCAGGTTTAGCTTCAGTTTTTTGACTGAGCTGGGCTTGGCATGTAGGGACAGTCCTTCAAGAAATGCTGTCCCTCACACCTCAAGCAGACACCTCTCTCCTTCCTCTTCCTCCACACTCCCTCCTGGATCTTCAGATCATGCCATGGGAGAGTGTTGGGGTTCAAAGGGTCTGCTGGAAAGTGGACGTCACGTGGCAAATTGGGGCGCCGGGCAGGGGTTGAAGAGCGACGTCCCTGGCTCTTCCCCTTGCTGCTGGAGGTTGTGTTGGAGGCAGATCCGGCCTTTTGGAAGCCCCCCAGCGCAGCCTGCAGCTGCTGGACAACTGCTGCAACATCTGGAACAGCAGCTGAAACAGTCCCAACTGGCGGTGTACCAGGCTGGGAACCTGTGTCAGAGGCTGACCCAGACCCCGCATATGCAAAGGCTGCCTTTCCCTTTCTACCACCGCGAGGGAAGGCGCCTCTCCTCCTGTCACTGGAGGGGGCCTGGACATGAAGCTTAGCTTCCATGTCCAGTGCTGCACGTCCAAATGATCTCCAGTCTTTGTGATCATCGCTGTACAAAGCAACACATAACTTTTCAGGCACAGCCCTGCAAAAGTTAGTCAACAGATCATCTGCAGACATAACCAAACCAGGGGTGGAAGTCAGTTGCTCAAATTCAGCAAATAAGGCCTGCAGACTACCGCTGTAACGCTGCTGGCCCAGGCGTACTATCTTATCAGCAGCTTTGCAGACTCTTTCTTTGTCTGCAAACCGATCTTCCAGGGCCTGCAAAAGTTTGTCAGCCCCCAGTGTGAAGGCCCAATCCTCCAAGGTCTGATTTTGGGCGCTTGCTGTAGAGGTAGCCCATTTCTGGACAGACCCCTCCAGCAGACCCACAACAGTGGCCACCTTTTGCTGCTTCGAGCACATGAACCCCTTCAGATAGGCCCGGGTTCCAGCTGTCCAGTCCCCCACATCAATCTTGGGGTCATCCCCCTTGAATTTGTTGGGGGCAGGAATCTTGGGACCTCTATGGTCCCCAGCAACAACAGCAGCAAAGGTGGGAGGAGGTGTGGCTTTGGCCTGGGAGGAGACAGAGGGAGACGTCTCATGCGAGGGGTGAGAAGACCCAGAGGGTGAAGAAGGTGGAGAAGAGGGTTGAGAAGCCTTTTTTGGCTTTGGAGTGGGGACCACAGGGACCAGGGGACTGATGACATTGGCTGCTGTAAACTGAGCAGTCAGATTCTGGATGGCATCCAGGATCTTTGACTACTGGGTTCCCAGATCAGCCACTCTGGTCTCAAGCCTCTGGATCCTCTCGTCCCAGTTTGTAAAATGGTTGGCTGTCAGCTTGTCCTGCAAGAGGACCAGCTTAGCCAGGTCCTTGGTACACTGGGACACTCTATTATCTCTGGGCCTGCTGCAGCAGATGTTCTTTTCTGGAAGCATTTGTTGCAGCCTCCAGCTCTGCAGCCTCTTGTCTCTCAGCTTCTGCGAGCAGCGCCTGTTGCTCTCGCAATTTTTCCTGGATCTCTCTCTTACGCCGCTGCGCAGGGGTCAAGGGAGGGGCAGGAGGAGTTGAGGCTGAAGGTTGTTCTTTAGCCTTAACCACTACTTCCACATTCCCTGCACCTGCGTCAGAGGCGACAGACATTTTCCCTCACAAACAACAATAAAACAAAAATGAAACAGCAGGGGGTGCAGCGATTTACAGATCCCCCAGGCACTCAAATTTCGTTGCACTGTCAGTTCACCAAGCAATGTGGGTTAGTGGGCACAAGCAGTTAGGGTTGGAATGAGACCACTGGAGTCAGTAGTCAGGCTGACAGGATGTCCAGTAAAATCATGCTTACGATTTCCTATACCTGACCCTGAACTTCCTTGAAGTTGCACTTTGCACATTCACAGTATTCCAGGGGTCACTAGTATTCCAGAGCCCATCAGAAAGCAGAACAGACTAGTAGTATTGATGGAAATAGGCAAGAATCAACTGAAACAGGATTACTAGTAGCAGCGATTTAGTAAACTATACCCTGACAGCCCCAAACTCAAATTTCGCCACTGTTGACATCAACAGAAATTATCCCAGATATGGCGAATTTCAGGAATGTACTGTAATGACCCAAATACAGTGTTTCTGGACTAGCGTTTTAGCAGGGTTGCTAAAATTAGAATTGCGATTCACCCCAGACTGACAGACTTGAATTCTGACGGTCAGATTTTGAGTTGTAACTGACCCTAGGTAGCCTAGATTATAAATAGACTCAGTGCAAAACTCGAATCTACAGTATCACTGTCTTTTCAGTACAGAATTCACAGAATGAACATACAGGATGCAACGCAATACTGTCAGGCAGTCCCAAAACAATTTGGAGTCGGTACAGGTCAACAGATGAAGAGATATGAGTCAGGGTAGGGAAGAAGAAGATGGGTATGGTTGTCTTTCAGTCTGACAATTCCACGAATGTTACACTACTGACAGACAGACCATTAATCCTACTTCTATTGATGCTATACTAATCGCTACTCAAGGATTCATATGGAACGCACTCACTTGAAGTATAACCCTCAGTGGATGATGAAGCTTGGCTATAGCTGCCAACCCTGGTCTCGCCAGTACTTGCAGACAGTCTTCCAGAGCTTCCCACGTACAGAATCTCATGAAACTTGATGATCTGCTCCAGTATGATGTGGCGATTCACCCTTCACCCTCAGATTCACTGAATCTGGCTCAGTGGCGAGAGAAAACTCTCCTGAAGATTTCTCGCCATTGCAGGTATGAGCCGCTGGTGCTCAATTTAGCCCTGAATAGGGTTAATTTGGCAGGAGGTGATCCCGCGATCAATCCTCCCTCAGCGCTATGCGGGATTGAAGCCGCCACCTAGTAATCACCGGATTAGGGTAAGTTTCGCCACCCTAGACTCAGTCATCAACTGCGGTCAGGAGGGTGGATGGCGAAATAACCCTATTCTCGCCACTTCCTGTTAGGCACACAGACAGGCTCAGGGTGCCTGATCAATCGCAAACTGATGTTCCTGCAATCACCGCCTGTATTCCTTATTCCCTGCTGGATAATCACTGGAGATGAAGAACCACCCCGGACCTTCTCGCCAGTAAGGGCCAGATGAAGAAGGTGCCCTTGTTGCGCTCAACCCTCTGAGCTCCCAACCCAATCTTCGCTCCGATACCAACTGTTATGAACTTGGTTGTCTGACAATTTGATTGCCACTCTCACTCTGAAGAACTCACACACGCCCATACATGCATGAGACAAAGGGGAGAAG